TGATGAGGGTGGGACCAAGACTTGTTTATACTGGCGTCCTGGCCCTCTATTGACTACTTTTGACTTTTAGTGTGATACCATCGTGAGCTCTTGGTCGTTATGTCGGCCATGGTTGCTACTAGTGTTGTATTCTCCCTTAATAAATCCACCGTTCTTTTCAAAAGTCCATACATCACCCTTTGAGCGCTGGCCTTGTATGGAACGAAGTATGGACACGACCTTTGCGCCACGATACATAAGTCATACGAAAATTGCAGCACAGATCCGACTTCTTGGGGCGGTCCCTGGTCTAATGGATGCCTGCCCACCCTCGACATCTTCTAGCTTCATTGCCGGAAACCTGAGCATACCCCATTAGCAGTAGCGAAGTCACTGCTTGTTTAGTGCTTGGGGTGGCTAGAGCTGGGCCATGCAAAGCATTAAAATCCGTCACAATGCCATTTCGAATCGTTTCGCACCGACGAATTTCTGTCGCCAGGCTCGCAATAGTTGACCCCCATGTATCGACGATCTTGTCCGTCCAATGATGCTTTTTGTCGGCGCAAGGCCGCCCACCTGATGGATTTGATATTCAGTTGCCCGGACTTTTATCTTTGTTATCTCGTGAATTTCCACACTGTTCTTGCGTTATTTCCTCCCTGTATCCTCTTTCACACTGGCACTCTCAGGATTTAAATCGCGTAATCAGGCTTCTGGTTGAGCCATCTTCAAGGCAACACTTCTTTGGGAGGCCGACTGCACAAATACCTTGGTATTACTACTACTCAGCTGTTGTGCGGTGAATTCTCCTTCGAAATCTGATTTCGCCTTGCGAAGCAGCTTAGCCGACCGCATTTTTTACGATCCCTTCACTCATCTTCGTGCTGGCGCTACTGTTGCTGGGAGTGCGACGACTGAGGAATTGTTTGGTCGTCATTTAATTCCCTGTACCGTCTATTGTACTGGCTCTTCGAAACTCTTCTTTACTACATTCCACGGGACCCAAATTTGTTCTTCAATAGGCGTGAGCACGAGCTTCAATCATGACATTATCGCGTGGAACTTTGAGTCTACAAGTATCTCATCTATCTCTATAATCGATGCCGCAGATTTTTCTGTTCTTGCTATTACTATTTTGTCTTGGACCTTAATTAGGTAGACACCTGTATTCACCAGGCTATCCATGTTGACACCAGTGTGTATTGCGAGAGAATCTATAGCCGTAGGTGCAGCTACCCCGCTACCCATTAGTAGCTAAGATAGTACCGTAGAAGCATTTTGTAGGAAATCTCTTGCAGACGGTTTAGGGCAAAGCCCTCATTGTCTATTGGAAAATATTGAATATAAATCACATATAAAAACAAGAAAATTTTGGAGGTGTATTGTCTTGTTTTACCAGTCCTTCATAGTCGTAGAATGAATGAATGTTTATTCGTGACGGGCACAAGCCCTGCACTCAAAGAGCATGACACAGGGAAGACTAGCTTCTCCGGCGGCTATATACGACAAAAACTCAGTTTGACATTTGGGCTACTCATTTAGTGGGTGCATTCGCTGATACCACTCGATACCTTTATAATAGGGACTTTCATCCTTCCCTCGACCGTTAATATCCACTAAAGGGAAAACAGGAAAAACCTTTGGCCAACCAAACATGCCTTTGTCATCTTGTATATATCTATAGCGCAACATATGGCCTCAAAGTCTTGCCCTTCTCGAGTGAGGTAGGAATCCAGGCTACCTAGACTTTAATCCGGAGAGACGACGACCAGGAGACGGACCAAAACACTTTCCATTGTTGCATATTTTCAGAGTGTCGGTAGCACTATCCGAAATCGTTGCCTCTGCGCCCATAGACACCCTTAAGTCGAAAATACTGGAAAAATATGCGTCCCAGCATGCTCATTTGTGACCTCTTCACTCGTCTCTCCCACTTCCCAGTTGCCTGACCTCCCTCAAGATGTAAAGCCCCATAGACCAAGATCCGAGCTTTGTAGATTATAACTTGATTTCCTCCTCGCGGGTATACATAGCATCGTAAATGTGTAGTGGGAGATGGCCGGTTTTTGATGAGGCAAATGCCCGATTGCAATTGGAGTAACGCCATTATCGGTACTTGTGGCGAGGTAGTGTGGTAAGATTGAAGTGGAGGACTGGCGTGAGAATAATAGGTCGGACATTGACGATAAGCCGTCGATTTTAGATGTGCTTGTGAGTTGCTTTCGACTTCGATTTGGATGCGATTCTTCTTGTCTATCCCAGTTATGCATGGCATACTGAGCGATTACACCGGCACTACTGGAAGGTGAAGAATTCGTCTTTGACGGCCTTCATACTCGTAGACTCCGAAGAGACTTAAATTTAATTCTATTCTACTCTATTCTCGCAGACAGTGCCCCAATCTTTTTTTTTGCATCAGATTTTAATTGCGTATGCAGCTATCCAGCTATGACACAATATCAAAGAAAAGTACAGAAAAGATGACTCAATTTACAATAGTAGCACTCATGCCTCAGATTTCTTTTGCAAGTACCACTGCGAAGTTATGCTGGCTTTTTCTTCACCCCAAGTCAACCCTCATCCGTGAATACCCACTCAGGGGAACGTCTCAAAAACTCTGAGTTATCCAGACATGCCTCCATCATCTTTCAACTTTCCTCCGCGCGAAATGTGGTCTGAGATGTCTCCTTCCCAAGTGAAGTAGGTGCCCGGGATACTCAGACCACACCGGAGAACACCACCAGGAGGCGGGCCACAACACCTTCCATCGTTTGCTTGTTTTTAAAGTGTCTATTGCACTCTCGCAAGCGAAGTATTGGCGCGCACAAAGCCCAATTCGTAAAACTCCGTGCCAGAATTCAGAATTTTACGCCCTTTGAGGTAATGTCCTTCCTTTGTATCATCTTGTTAACTTGTCCTAATCCCTCTCACGTCCATCCCAAAGAACTGTCTTCCAGATATGTGCGCCACGTTTTGGTTCCTCCGTCGGGTATAGATTTCGGCGTGGGCGTGTATTTGGTGACCGGCTGAGGCCAGAGAGAGTCGACGAGAGATGTTTTCATTGAAACGAGGATGTACTAGGTCGTACTTGTAGACTTGTTGAAGCTTTTTTGAGAATCGGACTCTTTGGGAGTGAAAGATTGACATGGTGGAGTAATTTGAATTTTTGCCTCGTGGGCCAACTTCTTTGATATTGCGAAATTTGACTGAACTTGGCTCTGGGAGAATATTTCACTGCCAGGTTCGTAGAGGACACCGCGTACAGGTGTTCAGTCTTGCCCTCCTGTGCCCTACTCATGATTGGGGTAAACTTAACCCTGAAACTAATCAGGAAGGAGCCTTGATTAGTCATGTATTAGTCACATAAGGAAAGGTGGCCAGAGATGCCTGGGAAAGCAGTCATGGCAAAAAAGTAGTCGGAATATCTTAAATTAATCCGTTCTTTCGTTGGTTTGCCCGAAATGAAACCTACAGTAGCTGTCGCTCTAAAATGAAGATACAATTTATTTTCAGCCATGGAATCAATCTTTCCTGTTCTCCAGTTCGCTATGTCTAAGCGTAACGTGAGGGGGACTATCCTCAACACCTTTCAGTGGTGTCCCTACGGACCTCCAGCTCTCACGGTAAAGTCTGCAGAGTCTGCAGAGCCGAGATTGAGCAACAAAGTCCCCACTTCCATGAGGATTCCCAATCAATTTAGCGGTCTGTATCGTCTTCATCTCTCAACACATCCCCCTATCACCATTATCATGAAGCTAACCACGATCAGATCAGATGCTAGGGTCGAAGCCCTACTCATATCCACCCTTGATCATGGAGGAGATGACATCCGATGAGTTTCCGGAGCGTACCCAGCACCCGATGCGGAGATGGCGGATTGGATCAAGTCGGCCTCGGCTGTTACAAAGAAGGGAGATATAGATAAATATGCGCACCCCATGTAGTCTCGGTGTTTAGGCCTCGCTTGGCTGGTACTGTAGGTTTTTTGAGACTTTTTCCCGAGCTCGCAGTCTCCATCGTTACCATTTTTTTGGGGAGTTGAAGGTTGCGTGGAAAAGGTGCCCGAATTCCACGGGTAAATACTGAGCTGAACGGATAGTCATCACGGGTAATATATCAATGATCTTTCATGTAACAAAAGAGGATAGGAGCACTGTACAAGGTGTGGCCTGACTAGAGAGGAGCCTAATATGCTAGATATTTTATGGCTCAAGTAGTACAATAAAAAGATCACAATCGGGAGCTGGAAACTCGTGTGATCTCTGTTTATCATGTAAGATAGATCATGCTTTCAAGGTGAAAAAGTGTCTTGTCAGAAAGATCTGTCGACAACGTCAATTCACATCTACTCACATTTGCACCGCCACACTCAATGAAAATACACGATTTGTCTGATACTAATTGATACCAGACTAGCTACATAATATCAATCTTGAGATGGGCATTTTTGTTTAATGGTATGCTGATCAGATACTCACCATGACCAGTCTAGGCGAGATATTATAGGTCATTTTTAACAATCATATATACATTTCCATCCAAATTTTATAAACTCCTGTCATTCCTTAGATCCAACATCTTGCATCCAAATTTCGTCCAATCGTTTCCCTCCCTGAATCCATGAAGAGGTATATTATTGCGCGCATGATATGGGGCGTGCACAATCTGCTCAGGTCTGCTTTCCGCCTTACTCATGTTATTCAGATACACTCGTCCAAGTTGGCAGTAGAAGCTCGGCGCGATCTTATCGCAGATTGTAGAATTTGATAGGTTGCATCTATTCTTAGATCTATGTGGGGATAATGCGGCAAGGTTGAGTGGTAGACCGCCGACAACTGAGCAAAACTAGTATTCGCTAATTGCCGAGCTTTGAAATTTATAATTATGTATTAAAAGAATATATTACCGATATATTTATCTTGGGGTTGTTAGTGGCTTTTGGCTCCAAAGTAGAGCGTATTCAATTTAATTGGATAGATACGTGGGTCACTGGATTAAACACCATTAAAAGTAAAGGGCGTTCATATGAAATATGACCCATTGGCAGTACCTAAAGAGCGTCAGTTTTAGCGTAGGAGATAAGTAGAGAAATGGAGTTGCCTACGCAAAGACCCTGACTTGCTGATGCTGGCTCGCCGCTGACCAAGGCCGGCCATATTGATACCGAACATGCTACTGTCTCTTCTCCTGGCCTTTTCTGATGGATTCACTGGACTATATTGACGATTACTCTTGTTGACGGTAGGGTTGTCGCTTGTAGCGATCGCTTTGGTCGTTGTTCGCTCTTTCCGCGATTCCTGGTCTATTGTAGCTCCATTTCCACTTGATAAGTGAGAATTCTGTACTTCTTCGTTGTTCGCGTTGCTAGAATACTGCAATTTTGACATGGGAAATGGCGGTCTTCGAGTATTTGGTGGTGAGGGCGAGGTGCCTTGTCGACTAGGAGCTTTTGTATTTTCCGGAGAACCTTTAGGATTTGGGACAGCTATATTTTGATCTTGGTTTTGAGAGAGTTGGTCATCGAATATTTTCGTATATTGTTGTAGAAAGAGCGAGAAGAGTGATGCAGGTATATTCAGAGTCGGAGAGAAGACAATGCCAACGTTACGAACCGTCATTTTATTGACGTTAGCGTGACTGATAATCTTGTTCAGAAATGAGAGCATATATCGTAGAAGAATATAGTTTTCTTGTGGAAGCTGATGTACTAGTTGATTGACGACAGATATCCTATCATTTACATCACTAACTTCTGTAACAGCGACAAATTGTAAATGAAGTTGCATGGTAAGGATGGTGGTCGGTAACTCCCGGAGATAAAGTTTCAGTAAGGACGCCACGGCATGTATATCATAGTATTGCTCGTCTGTGACAAGATTCACATCGCCTTCTGTGTTGAAGCGTTCCCGTAATTGTTTAATGACCACGTTCGACCCACTGAGTCGAAATATTCCTTCTTCTCCGCAAGCATTGTTGGCGTCTAGATACTCAACACACCTGTAGACAACTGCTGGTAGTCCAACCTTGACATTAACGGGATGACTGTACTTGACTGCATCCATTAGAGATGCTCCAAAAACATGTCTTATTGGGCCACGTGGCTCAAGAACCATCTGGGTCAGATATTTATTTGGATCTATTTCGATTGTTTCTGCTTGTTCCCGGACCTTGTGACCGAATCCAAAAAATGATCTCTTTCGCAATTTAATCTTCTCGTCACTGAGTGATACTGAATTTTCGAGATGTCGGCCGATGTTGTTTTCTTGGGAGGATGATACGGCTTTTGGGGTAGGGGTAGGCTTAGCTACCAATTTTTGCGCCGGGATTGGTGACTCTCGTCCCATGGCTCCTGGAGCAGGTCCTATTCCATTGCTATCCTTCTTGCGTCCAAGAAAGGGTTTATTTCCAACCTTGGTGTTTTCGTAGCTAACGCCAAGGAGACTATCTCCGCTTGAGTCAAAAGCTTGATCCTGGCTATTTGAATCATTTTTTTTCAACCTCTTGTCGCTACTGTTACTGGACGTGCTGGTCCCTATTTTTCCCGTCGGTGGTAATTGTGAATTATTTTCCTCCGGTTCTTTGAAACCAATGTACTGGCACAAAGCTTCGACCCATTCATCGCGTTCAGCATCACTTTCCGCACATAAGACGTGGCGAACAAGACTGGATGAATCCTTTTTCTTTGGTTCGAGAATGAGGAAAGCGTGACGATATTGGTTTTCAGACTCGTCGCTGTCAGCACGGAGTGTCAGGTTTTTAGCGCTCGGCTGAGATTGTTTGCCAATTTGCGCGTTTGGTAGTTTGATTGTTCCGAGATTTTGGCCATTGGGACTATCATAATACCTTAATATTGGACCACCGAGCACAAAATAACGGGCTTTCCAACCACCAAAGTTTTTTCCTCTCTTGGTTAAATAGCCACGCTTACGAGGCATTCGCATAAGTTCATTAGATACATATCCGCTGGTAGCGAGACCAAAGCTTGGTGCCGGGTTAAGATCTTTGGTATTGGCTTCAATAACGTTAGAGGAGAGGTATTTACAAATCTCAAGCGCTGACGTAGCAGCATGTTGGCATTCTAATAATTTTTCAAAGTATGCGTTGAGAGCAATCCGTCTGGCATCTACTTTTGCAGGGGCGTGTCCATTGAACAGCGATTTCTCGGGCGCTCTTACCGTTGAAGACTGCTTCAATGCCTGATCTAACACCAACAGAGATTGTAGGTCTTTCTCAATCCTCCACAGTTCCTTACCGTTGGACCTGGCAAAAAGGGCTAAGGTGAAGACTGGATCTTCTTCGAACGACTTGGATGACATGATGCTGGCTCGAGAGGGCTTCAGCCGCGAAGACGCAACCTTAACGTCAACTAAGTTTAGAGCTTTGGGGGGAAGTAAGAGCTCAGGAAACTCTTCGGTGACGAGGCCACGGTAAATACCGTCACGACGAGGATCATGGGTATCAGGGGATAACAAATTATCATCAGAGCTACTACCCGAATCCTGCTCACTTTTAGTAATAAGTGGTGGTTTAGGAGACTTTTGAAATTGTGCCCTGATAGATCCGGATGAAGATAAAGAGGTAGGAGTACTAGGCGGGAAAGGAACTGACTGATGATTTCCCTGAAGCGGCACATCCGAAGTATACTGGGGAACCTGAAATACAATTAAAGGAGATGGAGGTGGAGAATTTACGGTAGGGATTTGATTAATACAGTTCGTAGGGGAAGAAGTATCTCTAGATGGTCTTGGAGTTGTCCTAAGAGCAGCGATCCGTGGAGATGATGGCTGTCTGATGTGTTTGTTTGCTTTCGTGTTAATATTTGAGTCACCTAGCTTCGTATTTGTCTCCATATGTTGTTCAGGAGCGGTAAGAGAAGAGTTATCTGAAGCTGTAGATCGTGATGTCTCCATATTAGTTAGAGTATCATCTTTAGAAAATGTCTCGCTTTCGTGATCAGGTTTCGCTGGTCTTCGCCTGTCTGGATGGACATCTCTTTGTGTGACCGAAGTACCAGGATTTTCAAGATGAATAGGGAGCGGTGGACTTCTGCGCTGCTGATGATCTCCTTTTTCGGATAAGATTGTTTGCAAAGGTAGCTCTTTTGCCGTAGGAATGTTTGGTAGAGGCAAGTTCGGCGGTTGCGATGTAGGCAAGTACTTTTCGGGCGGTAAGAATTCAGGAGATTCATCCCGGGTTAAAGCATGAATGAAACTTGGAGTAAATTCTTCTAAATCTTTCAGCTCATCAACCAGAGTGGGTGGCATGTGTTGCTCTGGTTCGAATAAATTGCTAGATACAGAGCTATCAAATCGACTGGCGGAGGGTGTTACCGGATATGGAGCCAAGACAACGTTGATTGGGGAATCCAAGTCTGTAGTCTTATCTTCTTTGAAAGCGTTAATTTTAAAATTCTCTACACTGATTCTCCTTGTACGATCTTCGTTCGGGGAATCCATGTTATTAGGGACGAGGTGCCGATCCTTGTGGAGTCCTAACATATCTGCCAAGAGAGCTTTGGTTTTTTTTCTGTAATGCTCTTTATCCTTCAGCGCTCGCTCGAGGTCTTTATTTAGCCCTAATATCATGGCTCGCTGCTTATCTACCAGTCTCCAAAGTTGAGTATTTTGGGCGGTCTGCGACTTCTTTTCCTTCAATAGATACTCAATGACGGCCTCGGCCGATCCGGCGGCTGCGACTAGATTGGCAATTTCAGGGGTAGATGCATCGTTTAGATGATGGGAGGGACTGGATGAAACTGAAGAGCTGGCGGATTCCATAGATCCGGTGCTGGGAGCTGGTCTTAACATTTCCGTAGGTTTACGTGAGCTAATTTCTTCAAGGCCAGCCGACTGCAAATGAAATTCTTTTGGGGTTTCTCTCACTACCGAATCAGAGACGCTTCGTAGTGCTACATTCATTTGATTTGGCGGTGGGCTGGAATGCCTGCGAATGACGGTGGGAAGATAGGGCGGATGGATGTTATTTGAGTGTCTAGGTTGATCTGAGAGACCACGACTAGGCTCGGGTGGGCGATGCACGTTCTCCGAAGTTGAGATATACTCCGTCAGCGGACGAGATGGATTTGATATATTTCTGCTGGTATGATGATGAGTTCGGGAGGCCTTTGCATAATGTGGCCCTTGATGGGATGGTTGTGTTATGGAAGATGTGCTCTGGGACCTATCGGCAATGATTGAATCAGCGAACTAAATCGTTTTGCAGAACAAGTATCCCGTAGGAGAGGGAGAGGAATGAAGGAAGTTATTAGCGGCATTCCAACCTTTTCTCTAATTTTATTGAAGGGTCGGCGAGGTCCATATACTGGGACGACAGTGGAGGGATACGAGAAGAGCTCTCTTCATATCGCAGGACCTGCGACATGATTCACTTGCAAACGCGAAAAGAGTTGAAGTGTATGAGGAGCAAAGGTACAAGATTAGGATAGCGCATTCCCCGACGGAGGAGAGGATGGAGGCTAGACAGGCCACAAGCTAGGGGTATATCCCGTACTGGGTTGTTGCGCAACTTGAACGAGTCTTGCCGCAGACGGGGGATTGGGCGGCGATGTTTCGTATGAAACAAACAATGGTCACACGTTGTGTGAGTTTTGTGACGACGGGCGGCAAGTGAGGAGCAGAGGTGCTGAAGACAGCAATTATACCAACGTAATTCGGGCTGAAGGTGAGAATACTGACAAGTGCCTAGAAAATGACGAGCAGAGCTCGTCGCTTGTCGGGAGTGATGGTAGTAATGCAGTTGGAATCTGTGCAAGATCAAGCCAACTACTGGCTGAAATGAAGTTGCATTGTAGGCAGCACCCGAGTTGCTCCTAAACGAACGTCGTTACAGAAAAGAGGGCCAGCCAGAAGCGTGAATTCGTGTTAATAGAGTGTGTGATGGGAGTCTTGGAAGGGGTTAGGGCCATGAGGTGAGAGAAGCGGGTAGGGAGTGGATGACAAGGTAGAGCTGCGGCATAAGAGGAGCAGGACGGAGTGATGGGGGAAAGACGTTTGGGCAGTGGTAGAGGTGGTTCTAGTGTGGTGGTGATGGTAGTGGTGAGACATTGAGTAGAGCGGGTGAGACTCGGTGGGCCTATGAATGAATGATATGCAGGTTGTTTGGATAGATGGACGTGAGTGGATAATTACCATAGATGCTCATGATCGATTAGGCCATTCGACCGTCATATCATGCAACTAGCGCCCTTATGCAATGCAATACGAATCCCCTCCCCACCTGCTCACCACAACATCAACAGCTTCTTTCTATCCGTTTGTCCTTGCGAGAGTAAGGGACTTTGCAGATCGGGGGAAACCAAAGCCTCGTCAGCTTCGGGGCCGCCTCATCCTCACGGTAATGACAAGGGAGCCATCTTGGCTACTTGGCAGGCAATGGAGAAGCTTGACAACTCCGGATTCGAGTCGTGGGTCGCTGGTCCCGAACCGCCTGGTCGGTCTGTGCTAGCCCCGCCCTCCTTGGCCTGTCAGATCAACCGAGTCTAGTGATTCATGGTAGCCCCAATCTAAGGGTTTAGCCCACGCGATCCACCTCTTCCCATCTGTGGAATGTTTGCAGCGCCATTTGCCCTTTCCCACCCGGCCCGCACAGCCCTGCAAAGCATGCATTGCTTCAGCGGCAATCATCGCGGCCCCGACTTTTTTCTGGCACCAGCATCTCGAGAAGCAGGACATCTTTGCCAGCCGCTACGCACCTCGAATCGCGATGACCACGCGACAGGTTGTCCGTGTGTTACTAGTGCTACGTTCCCCAACGCTCATCCATATCGGATACAAATGCCGTTGCAGGGTGGTCCGCTTTGTCGACAGGGTGCTCAATGACTGTGGCCGTTGGCGCTTGGATGCATCACAACATCTCTGAAAATTTGCCATACTACGGCCCTTCTTCCAGCCGATTCACGACACAGTTACCCAAATTACCAACCCGCTATACAGTGGTGGCCGGCGAAAAGAGAGGTCCTACATGTCCTACGTAGTGAAAGACTAAGGAGGGAAGATTATATCATCAATAACATTTACAGCCGTCACCCCCTTGCACCATCAACCGATAAGTGGGGACATTTAATTTTACCACGTCCCAGGTATCTCATACCCTTAGCCTCGAGCATACTTCTCTCAGATAGTTCTTCATCCGAAGAGCGGCTCGCCCATGTGCCTATGCCCGCGTGCTAGTATGTTCGGCGTCGGCTCTTTTGCATTCTCCGTCTGTTAGACACCGCAGCTTAACGGCTGCGCCAGTCCGGGCCTTTGCGATCTATCAAGGCCCGTAGCAAAGTCATGGTCGGATCTCACTACATTCTTTTCCCTAAAAGCCAAGAGCCTCATGCCATCAGTCTCATCAGTAAACACGCGAACACAGTTGCATATTCGCTTCTGTCTTCTGGCCGCCGCAGTCCTATCCTTTCCCATTTCCTAGGCCTTTGGGGTTGGTTTACGTGTTCCTACCAGCCGCGCGGAGACGAGGTCAATAATGCGGCACGCAACTCACTGTCTACTCGCAGCAATGGATACGCTCCTCATCATTATTCTCATGATCCTCGGATTCGACCTTGGGCTATTAGACCGAACTATATTTACAGATTGCCATGGTGAGGAAGAAGTTGCAAGAGATGTGGGTTGGTGATGATTTCTTCTATGTATAGCTTTGTACTAATTAACCACATATCGCGTATTTTCTCGCGGTACTTTACTTCATTGGTATATAGAGCTAGGATATTCATAGTCATGAAACCGGAATTTTGAAATCTAGTTTCGTCTTCCTGAGTATCCTCCTAAAGCAGACAATAGCAGTTCTTAGTGCTGGGGTACACGGAAGCGCGGCAAGATTCGTCTTTTGACTAGAGCAAAATGCGGAGAGCTGAGTGGGTGTATTGTCACTGTTGCTGACGGTGAGATCGTGAATCAAAATAAAGAATGTACGAATTTCGTGTAGGCTTCACATTTCCCTTCGCGGATCGAGTTGCATCGTGTCACGAACCAAGTAGACACCAACCCGGCACGGAATGAGCCATGCTTATGGCTCTATTAGCCTCGCAGGGAATTTTTCTATCGTATATAGCTTGTTTATAGCTGTGCTCGTTTGCTGTACTGAATCATTCCTGAAACCCTAGCCAAGGCAGATTGTTACTGCCCATTAGGGCACCAGGACTTAGTGTAGCAGCTAATTGAACTCCGCCCACTTTTCCTCCAGTACAACACTTTAAATTCTAAGTAATTGTTGTTACTTTCCAACTGAGAATTTATCAGTAACCCAAGGCAAACTACTAACCCTATACTTCAGAGGAATCATCAGAACGCAACTTCGCTGGGCTAAAAAATGGTCAGGGGTTTGTGGATACCAACGAGTCCCTAGGCACTTCGAGACGCCCTAGACAAAGATTAATGCCTGACTAGCTCCGCCCTCAGCCACACGAAAGACTCAGGCCTTACTCGGCGCCTGAGACAACAGTAGCCGTCGTTCGCCTCCACTCGCTTACTCACATTGTCATTATTGATCTAGATTGGAACTACAAGTCATGAACTTGTCGATGGTGAACTCTCTGCCTCAGTAGGTTAAATTTCTATGCAGAACGGCAAACTTCCTTCAAACGTACAGCTGACTTGCCGCTTTACGATGACCGTGCACAACTGAAGCCGAATCTCTATAGAGGTAACGCTAGTTTGGATCCGTCACTAATGCGTCCAAGACGAACCGTTTTCACACTTCTTCGATGCAAGACATCTCATACCCCGACCTAATATACTTCTGGGTTTGAGCGTCAGATCGACAGAACGCAGCGAGCTAGCGAATAGATCATCATCAGTGCATGCAGCCAGTACTTATGGTAAATTCAGCAGAAAGAAGCATTGTAGCCAGCCTCTGTAATATTTATGGCTTACAAGGGCTTGTCTACGTGTGTGAACGCGCGCAACAAGGAGCTGGACTTTGGACTATCAAGGTGAATCGGTTTCAACTAGCCGGTTAGGGTTTATCGATACCCAGCCTAGTTGATAGAGGTTCCTGCTCCTGGGGATTGTGGTCTGCTGCTTAGCCAGTGTGGCGAATTCCTGCAAAATGCCATTGGAAGATAGCTGAATACAACATTAATCATGGAAAAGAGTGCTAGCGACTAACAGCTACGTTGTTCAAGCGGAGGTTTATCCGGACTTGCTGCGAACGTTCCGCTCCCGTCACCGGCGAGTCATGATACTTCCCAAGACTGAACCCCTTGAGGTTCTCAAAATGTGGTGTTCCAGGAAATTGGTTGCAATACGAGATAGAATTTCTGCAAATATTACTAGGGCGCATAGTTGAAATCATGATAGATCTTATCCACAAAAACTAACAAGCAAACCCCGGGTATGTAAGCGCCGGCTGCGACAGCGGGATAAATAATATACACACCTACAGGACATGGTCTATTTCTTTCATTCATGATTTTACCGTGATGCCGGTCACTTTTAGGTCTCCCGGCGGACGAGTGTCAAAAATATCAAACACAAAAGAAAGGATGAGCGATTGCAATTTCGCCCAACCAAATGCATTGGAATTTGATAGGCGTTGATTTAAAAGATGACATAATCAGTCTACGATACTATCAGCCTTGTACTTTCTTGGACGTCTCACGGCCTCTCCCTTAGCTTCAAAGTAGGGCTCTAATTCGATAATTCCTCTGCAGATTAATGTTCATAAATATGGTTAAATTGTTTAGGCGTGCACAACATGCACACATAAGTGCTTGGCAACAGTTTGGTAGCAGGCCTGGGAGCACCACGTACAAAACGAGCTAGAACTTACTCCTTGACAAGGTAAATAAGGGACCTTGTCGACAATCAAACACAGCCCGTCGGATCGTCGGCGGCCAAGATATCGTCCGACATCGCTATCGCGCCTGATTAACGAAAGCTGAGGAAGCCCTCGTGTCCCTTATCCGAGCCGTAATCCACCCAAAAAGTTAACATTTTATCGGGATCAGCGCGTGTAGCGTGTCCATCACTGATCAGTCAGTAGCTGCACCCAATAGCCGAGATTGCTTATATTCCCCTTACAAGTGTTTCAAAGTGCAATTGCATCTACAAATTACTTGCAAGGCTGGTCAAGATGACTGATTGGTCTTACCATCGCTGGTTTATTCAGTTCGTTTAGGGTCAGTTGTTTACTAACTCCCAACCCCTTATTAACGCTGCCCTTGAAGGCATAGATCTACACAGAATTTGTTTCAGGATACTAGAAACAATTTACCTTCAAATTTCAACTTTGTAGGATAAGGATAGGAGGACTAGAACTCGACACCTGTCGGCAGTGCACACTAAAAACCTGGGAATGGGATTTTCACTCAGAGCTAAGTTTCGTCACATCTCGCAGAAACGAACCGATTAGCCTATGAAGCAATGCTTCAAATTTTCATGTCACACCCACTCTTTCCTCTCACCATGAGAAAACCCAGCCAGACGTCTTTAGACTTTTTGTCTTGACCCAGAATATCCCATTCCCAACTACTGGTCTTAGTTGGTCACTAAATACAGGCCCACAACAGGAAACTTCGTACGAGAAAAACTGTGGGCCACCAATCTGACGAGCCAGGTCTTGGGAATGAAAAGAAGTTCTATAACGATAGATCAACAACAATGTGTTGAATGAAGACAATCTTGAGAGAAATGAGATGTTAAAGTCTAGGAGGAGCTTTACTAGTCGAAGAGCATTGTGCACTACACGACTTCGTTTTTTTTAAAATCTTTTAATGTGAATTCAGCTATCTAGCTACGACACATGACCGGTGCTATGTATACATGTGGGATGACACTTTTGACGTTAGATACACTCACACTATGGATTTTATTTGCAAATACCACTATAAGGTATATTCGCTTACATAAACAGTCGACCCTCCTCCGTAAGTACCCATCAAAGGGAATTTCAAAACCTTTCGTTACCCAAGCATGCCTTCGTCATCCATGTATACCAGCGCCACTCGACTTCGTTTGCTAGGGTATAAAATAAAATAGTTATTTATTCTTCCTACACCGTAACCTGACAAGGGCCCATAGCAGTTAGGTAATGCAAATACGTAGTGAGTTCATGGGGCTTAACTCGTATTCACACAGAAGAAAAGTACCCGGAGGATTAAGTCCAGGTTGTCCATGCGGCTACCAATCACAGAACCCCAAGTATATGATTATGTCCTACCCCCGATGGTCAAATGGTAGAGCTGAGATCTGGAAACAAGTCAAAGATCGATCCTACGAAGCGATAATAAACAATCCTGGAGATATAAAAAGGATAACACAGTTGATCCTAAACCGTGGTTGGATAGAGCAATTCCAGATGACAAAAGCGGTCGAAATTCTGCTGAGGGAAAGGAAAAGGTCAAATAATGCTTGGGGCGGACAGAGATGATCTGGTTAGTCTACATGGATGGCACTATAGTGTAACTGTGCTTCCTGAAGAAAATATGTGAGAACTATAGACAACAAGTAGAAAGGTGTGGGAGGTTTTCACCACAAAGGCTTCCTCCCGGGTAAATATTATAGACTGTAGACACTTGCATGGGCCCATAGGGCGCCAAATCAGGATAATAAAATGAAATTCAAATAGTAAGGAGCTCAAACATCCACACCGGAGGGCAAGACTGAACACCTGTTCGCGGTGTCCTCTACAAACCTGGCAGTGAAATATTCTCCCAGAGCCAAGTTCAGTCAAATTTCGCAATATCAAAGAAGTTGGCCCACGAGGCAAAAATTCAAATTACTCCACCATGTCAATCTTTCACTCCCAAAGAGTCCGATTCCTACCTAAACCTCATCATGTTTACAAGTACGACCTAGTACATCCTCATTCCAATGACCACACCTCTTCTCGACTTTCTCTAGCCTCAGCTGGTCATCAAATACACGCCGATATTTATACCCGCGGGAGCAAGCAAAGCGTGGCGCACAAATATATGTGTCTGGATCACCTTGATTGGCCCGTAGTGGAGGCCTTCAAGCAAGGGTGTTGATCGCACTAGGGCCTTGGCACCTACATAGGATAACTTTCTGTAGGTAGCTTAGATAGAGAGTATAGTACAAAGTGACCAACCAATTTCTATCTTCTAGCAGATTCAGCCAGTGCCAAAAATATGAGACAGCTCTTTACGATGGGCGTGAGAGAGAGATCGAGACAACTTCACAAGATAATGCAGAAGATGGAACAAACTCGATGGGCGTAAAATTTCGAAGTTTGGCAAGGAGTTTTACAAATTGAGCTTTGTCCGTGCGCCAAGACTTCGGTTGCTAGAGTGCAGGCGACACTATAAACATCGCCATGGTTGGATGGTGCGGTGGTAAATCATCTGGGCCGGTTTTCCATGTAAGGTCTGAATAGCTTGGACACATATCCCACTCGAGACAGTAGATGGCTGGTTCAAATCCGTAAAAACACAACCACATCTCTCGCGGCGCCGGTATTGTAATGGATATGTAACATATTTAATGTGACTAACCATTACGTAACACAAGTATATATACATAGATAGAACACCCAATGTAAACTTCATGCTTCTGCACTACAGGTATACATGGATGACGAAGGCATGCTTGGACGATCAAAGGGTTTGAATTTCTCTTTTGTGGGTATTCTCGAAGGAGGGTCGACTGTTTGTGTAAGCAATCATACCTCACATTGGTATTTGCGAATGAAATCCAGAGTATGTGTGTTTCTAACGTCAAAAGAGTCTTCATACATGAATACATAGTACCGGTCATGTGTCAGCTCTATAGCTGAATACACATTAATGATGTAAAAAAAGCCGTTACGTAGAAACTGAATCTCCTTCATGCGCTACAATGCCATACTGATATAATAACTACCTATGCACCAGCTACTAGACCTACCATACTACACAGCTGACCATAACACTAAGTAAAACCTAACCAGTCAAGATTCTGTCTCTTAATTAGTTTGAAGGATGATTAGTTGTGAAGCGCTTGATGACTTTAAAAGTTTTCGAGGGCCCTCAGTTGCTAGGATCTGCTCGTCGCTAATTTGTAGTTGCGAAAGGTGATGCTTAGGTCTTGTAAAGGCGCGTTCTCTCTACCTGGCTCTCAGTTTTAGCCGTCTAATCGTTTCTTTCAGACCCTCGGCTGATCGAAGGGCCAAATGGTGACGTTCGTCCATTTACTGGATGCAAGCTGCAGCCCTGAGCTATTTTTGCTGTAAGATGGTCCCTGCTGGGGATATGCTAGACAATTCTTACATTGATGAAAGGATATCAATTTTAGACATGATTAAGGTTGCTTTCAACTTCGATTTAGTAGCAATTCTTCTTGGCTATCCCAGAAAGGTAGAGCATATAGAGCGACTATACCGGCACCACTGGAAGGTGAAGAATTCGTCTTTGCCAGTCTTCACTGGAGGGATTAATCATTAGTCGAGTTGTTCATGATTCTAAACATGGATATAGTCTGGTCAGCCTTGTGCGATAAGGCTCTTTTATGTAATGATAGTTGACCTTACAGTCCATGTTCCACTGGGCCTCTTCGTGCTTGAAGAGTGTACTGTGGCCACTAGGAGTTCTATTATACTATGTTTCAACAGTTTGGCCCTCAACTTTTGGATGTGAGAGTAACCTTGGACTGCAATTTCACCATATTGTTGTCTAGGCTAAACTAACCCTTGTGGTAAAAGTAGTAGAATGTTAATTCTCTAGCATGCTCCTGCGAAATCTTACCAACCTCGAAGTGGATCATAGGAAACCGTGTCTCGCGTGAAAAACTCTGAATAGCAAGTATAATGGGTTGTTCATTTGATAGATTACGGCGCTCACATGGTAAATTTCTGCCTTTGAATACGAATCTTATCAGTAAAAGCTACAAGATTTTCTCGGGTTACTATGTTTTATAAAATCAAATAAACGGGTTTAAAGAGATATTATGGACAAATGGAAACCTAAATAAATTAGTGTTAAATAAAAGTTTCTTTAGTGCACATTAACATGATGAAACATGTATGACTCATTTTTTTGCTTCAACTTTCTTGGGCCTGTCTATTCCCAATCTTTGTCCAAATACTTCTCGTTCAAGTGAATTCTTGCATGAATAAAATTTCGATTGTGGCTTCACAGAAAATTAATGACCAGCTCGTGGACCAATTGAATCATTCTTCGAACTGTATTTTCTAATTCCCTGAGGCCGGTCAAGTTAGCTCATAAGTATCTTGTAAAATCTGAGAGATAGGAAATGTTCCATACATCGGATTCTTGGATAGTACCCTTTTCTATTATCTTTTTAATTATCTCCTCTTTGATGCTTGTTCCAAATTCATTCTCAAGCACGGCCATTGAGGGCTTTCCCAAACTGCCTTGGGCGCCATGTCTATAGCTTGCATAAGTTTGGGTTAGATGATTGATCGGCAAAATAGACTCACTTGCCAGTCACAAATACATCATAACTAGCGACGACATTTGCTAAGGAAGTTTCTTTATTTTTTTTCCAATCATTTGCAGCTTCGGTGCTTTCTATAAATATGATGAAGTCATCAATTTCGCCTTTGTAATGGATCTTAACTTGTGCTTCTCCGTGACCCATCTTAGCTGCGAGTGATGAAGAGTTAGGTGATAAATTCAACCCAAATAAGTGAATAATGTCTCTATGATTTACTAGTAAGTTACAAGTAATATTTTGGTGGTATTGAATGAGGCTGCGTCAATGATAAGGTGGGTTTTAGACTGTCGGGTTCCCTAACCGCAATGACGTACGTGTTAGCTACAAACAGGCTTCAGCCATGATGTCACCAAATGCTAAGAGCTCATTTATTAAAAATATAAGCCCTTTTTCCAGGTGGACTCCAAAGTGCAAAGTGGCTCACCTTAACTATCGCTCGGCATTTACCGAGGAAGAACGGATTACCTGCGCCAAAATTCTGAGGTCTACAGTAGCATCAGCCAAGAGAGAGCACTGGAAGAAGCGGATAGAAACGATGCGGTTGTGCTCGGACGTCTACAAGATGATGAGGTGGGCAGCCCCGAAACACCAAAAAATCCCGCCACCCCTTCTGCATGATGGGAAGCTAGTGTCAGATCAGGCAGAGCGAGCGACGATTCTGCGCGATCTACTACTGGACCGTCACTCGGAAAAAGAGGTTCTCCAACCTTGCACAAGGTCAGCAGAGCCTCGGATTCCACGGTCTGAGGAGATATCAGAGCTGGAAGCTCAGTCATGTACTATTGGAGGAGGTAATACCTGTCCTGGTGCAGACGAAATCTCAGTAGAATTGCCAGCCGCATGCTGGAGCAGTATTGGAAGATATATAACACAACTCTTTCAAGCATGCCTGAGACTTGGTTACCATCCGGCATGCTTCAAGCTGGCGGAAGTCATATTCCTACCGAAGAGCGGTCGTGATTTATCAACGGCCAAAGGATGGGGACCAATTGCACTCCTCTCATGTCTAGGCAAAGGGCTAGAAAGAATCTTTGCGAACAGGATGTCAGCATTAGCCATCACTTTAGACGTTGTAGGCCACCGGCAGTTTAGCGCACTACCAAAACGATCGGCAAATGATCTGGTATCTTCAGTAGTGCACGATGTCGAGGAAGCTCGATCTCAAGGATGGACATCCACCTTTGTAACGATGGATGTACAAAGACCATTTGACGATGTCCTACATAGCCGGCTACTATGGCGAATGCAGGCACAAGGCTGGCCAGACTCGGTACTACGATGGAAATGGTCCTTTCTTAAAGAGAGGAGGGTACAGGTACGATATTCGGGAGGCGTGACCAGACCGAGATCTTTGAGGCTAGGGGTACCACAGGGATCACCGATCTCTCCGTTGCTCTTGCTTTTATACATGGCCGAGCCCATGCGAAACGGGAACTGCAGAGCACGATTTAGCCATGCGGACGACATTGGGATTCTCGGCATCGGTCGCTCGTTAGCCGAGTCTGCGATGGCGGCACAAGGTGAGGTCGACGATCTTCTGAAATGGGCTGAAGAGAACGCGGTTTCGTTCGACCTCGACAAGTCTGAGGTGATCCAAATCAAAGTGAGAAATCAGGGCGAATCGGTAGGAACACAAGTTGGCGGTTGGCTAGTCTAGCCGGCGGAGCATATTCGCTGGCTTGGAATTCACCTTGATCTGCGTCTCACATTCAAGCACCATGTAGCGACCTGGTGCGGGAAGGCCCTCAAAGCTGCGCAGCACATGCGGCGACTTAACCCACTTCGACGAGGAGCGGCCTCAGGTCCTCTGGTTAACGCCATCGACTCATGTATCGTACCAGTAGCAACATTTGGAGCGGATGTGAGGTGGCCCGGACTAACACGGCCAACGAAGAAAGGTACCTCAACGCCACAGACTACACACCTATGTAGTCTGATCGACAAAACCATTCGACTAGCCCTACGTGCCACGTTACCGGTCTGGAAGACTTCACCTAATGTCCTTCTTCATAGGGAAGGGGGCATCCCACCGGCGAAGATTCTTCTCGAAGGAATTCGACTCCGTCTAGCAGCCAGGATCCAGTCGCTCGATGACCGTCACCCTCTCCGGAACCGCGCAAGCGAGTGCCCTAATGTTGGCTCGCAGAAGTACAAGCTAAGGAAGAGAGTCAGGCGCCAACCAGAAACCCAGATGTTGCGCCTATAGCGTACTTTTCGAAAGCTCCCGCAGTCATCCGAAGAGGCAGAAGGGCTGGCAGGCCCAGTGTACACATTAAGTCTTGGAAAGAAAGAAGAGGGAGTCAAAGAACACTACAACTGGGCTAGCACGATCTCTCCCTCTAACATATGCGCCTACCCTGATGGGTCATTTGAAGGCCATGGACGATCCTCGTGGAGATATGTCCTCCAACGCGGAGGACAAACATTCGCACAAGGTCACGGTCGTCTACATGGCGGTGAAGTTTATGATGCAGAAATTGCTGGAGCAGCAGTAGCACTTCAGGAAGCTAAGCGCGCTCGAAAGAACCGTGAGAGAATCTTCGTTCTTCTTGACAATTAGGCAGCTGTACTTGCGCTTCGGACGGGGAAGTCATCATCGTCGCTGCAGACAACCCGCGTCTTTCACAAGTTCGCTTCAGAAGCGAACGTGACAGTGAGGTGGGTGCCTGGACACTCCAATATTAGTGGCAACGAAGAAGCAGACGCAGAAGCCCGAGCCGGTCTTCAGCTGCTGCCAGAAAGACAGACGCAGCCAGTGCAGACAACGCAGGCATAAATTTGCCGCTTGATGCACAATCGCCGACAGAAATTAGTGGAAGACTGGTGGAATAAGTCGGGCACGGACAGATATCGAGACCTGGACTTACAGATGCGACGTCGGAAACCACCAGAACTAGGTCTTTCTCGACGATTACTCCACAAGCTCTTGGCAGCAAGATCAGGACATGGAGACTTTGCGGACTATCATCGCCGCCTGAACCACGAAGACGCGAAACTGGAATGCGTCTGTGGACAAAGGACAACGCCAACTCATTTTGTCCGATGCCGGAAGAATGCTGCTATAATGCGCAGGTTGAGAAGATCCATGACCGTGGAGGACTATACCAACCAACTCCTTGGACCAGAGGGTCTCGAGAAGTTCATAGAATTTGCAAGGAATACCCGCTGCTTTGGGAGCAAGGATGCGAGGGCCGGAGTGATTATTTTGTCAGGACGAGAGAAATGACTGAAGGGGACATAGGATGAGAAATACTAGCACCGCTCCTACATGTTAATTTGCTTTGATTCAATTGGTTTTGTTTGTTATTTCTTTTGGTTTTTTGGTTGTTTGTAATCAGAGTCACATAGTGACAGTGTGGTGGTAACGAGTAGGGCATAGCTATTTAGGATAATCCTTACCGAGCCCACCAGTCCCGTGCCATAAGGCGCTGGGCTGGTGCCTGGGACCGTAAAATCAATCAATAAGCCCTTTTGCTCTGATAATGTGTCATAGCTAGATAGCTGAATAAGCAATTAAAATCTGATGCCAAAAAAATAAAACCTTTTGATTCTTGCTACTAAGCATGATAAGCATATCATAATTTTTATCAGAATCTGAACAATCGGGGCTATCAAGCAGGTTACATTGTTGATGTAATGTGTTTATTAGGCTACAGACTATGACTATCTAGCATACTAGGCTCCTCTCTAGCCCAGGCCACACCTTGTACAGTGCTCCTATCCTCTTTTGTTACATGAAAGATCATTGATATATTACCCGTGATGACTATCCGTTCAGCTCAGTATTTACCCGTGGAATTCGGGCACCTTTTCCACGCAACCTTCAACTCCCCAAAAAAATGGTAACGATGGAGACTGCGAGCTCGGGAAAAAGTCTCAAAAAACCTACAGTACCAGCCAAGCGAGGCCTAAACACCGAGACTACATGGGGTGCGCATATTTATCTATATCTCCCTTCTTTGTAACAGCCGAGGCCGACTTGATCCAATCCGCCATCTCCGCATCGGGTGCTGGGTACGCTCCGGAAACTCATCGGATGTCATCTCCTCCATGATCAAGGGTGGATATGAGTAGGGCTTCGACCCTAGCATCTGATCTGATCGTGGTTAGCTTCATGATAATGGTGATAGGGGGATGTGTTGAGAGATGAAGACGATACAGACCGCTAAATTGATTGGGAATCCTCATGGAAGTGGGGACTTTGTTGCTCAATCTCGGCTCTGCAGACTCTGCAGACTTTACCGTGAGAGCTGGAGGTCCGTAGGGATACCACTGAAAGGTGTTGAGAAAAGTCCCCTTTACGATGTTGATAAAACGTAAAAAAATATCACATACTCAGTTTCATTTTTTTAGTTACTTGGATGAGCACGCTATACAATCTCACGGCTGAGGTTTCAATATTACCTTAATTATATTAATTTACACTGAATAATCATTAGAGATTACCCACGCACTTTATTCCGTGAAATTTTCCTCTTGCCAGAAGTCAATTATTTCTTGAAGAGTTCGAGGATAATCTGATAACAAATTACCAAGTATCTGATGCCTCTGATCCGTGGACATCAAAATTCCAAACTCGTGAATATTTGCACAGATGTCACTAATAATGTTCCTAGCATGCTCTTGCATTGGAGGGTTTGTTGAACAATATGGAAGAAGAGTTATAGCTGATGTATCTCCCTTAATGGGTTTCAACGGATGTTCAATATGTTGTAGAAAACTAGATAGCGTAGATTGCAAACTTTTAACATCAAAAAGAGGTAGAATTGGTATATCAACGTTGTAGAAAAAACTTGTTATAAACTTAGTTAGTCCTCTTGGTGATTCCAAGGTTTTTACCTGCCTGGCCTGGAGACTCATCATCGCTATTGATCCATTCTCTTGATTTGACCCGTTAAGAAGGAATAAGACCCCCACATTTTTGCCTCCCCATTTATGATATAAGTTTTCAACACGGTCCTGTGTATCCAGAGACTTATTTGTATCTGCAGGCGATAGTATAATGAGGCGAATGTAATCAGTTGGGTTGTTATTAGTAGCTGTATTAATAGGGATGGCTAGGTCGTATGTCTCGGAGGTGATTTCTAACATGGTCAGATACTTGATGTGAGTGATATTCGGTTTCTCCACCTTTCCATATAGGATTGGATTGAGACAGTAGTTCGGTTGAAATTTCTGTCCAATCTTTCCTTTTCCGCAATGACGAAGAGAACATATTTCAAAGTTGTTGTTATATTCTAGGTTTAAAAACAGAACACGATACTCAAGGTCAATAATTAGACCAGGGTTTCAAGTAGGCATGACATTGAGAAGTTTTAGAATTAGATTCATAAGAATAGAAAATTAAGCCCATGACATCGATGAGGCCTCACCTAGACTAACGGTAGGAAACTGGCTCTTGGAGGTTATGTATATGTTCAAATTTAGGATTCTAAAAGTAGCTTTTCATATCTCTTTGGAGCATTAATGAGAAAAGAGATGTAGATTTTGGATTGGGCCATCCAGCCCAACAAAATGCTACTTAGTTCATCACTACTATAAGCTAGATCATACCTTGTAGCCTTTGTTTTCTAACCGGGTGAGAGTCAGTTCTAAGGCATCAACTCTACCTTGAGCAATTTTTTCAGCCTGCTCTAGTTCGATCTCACGCCTGTCTAAATCTTCCAATTTAAGCTGAAGTTCAGCTATCTTCTCTGCGTTCAAATCCGGCCTTCCCTTAGTTCTAACATATTCGTATAATATGAGGCCTCCAGCAACCATGAGAATAAAAGCGTCTCCAATTACATCAGCAAATAAATCAACTGCTCTTCCTTCTGGTAAGGGCCTAAATCTTCGTTTCCAAGTACTTAGAGTTTTTTCCTTGATTGAGGTTTTCTCTTTAATCGCATCGTCTATGGGAGATTTCTTCTCAGCTTTCATTGAAATGTTTTCTTTTCTTTCTCTTGCTTGTTTTTCAGCTGTAGAATTTTGTAGAAGTGTGACTGCCATTCGCATGTTAATTTGATGCATACTCTGTCCGTATCGCGCAGCATAGATCCTAAACTTAGGGTGGTCGTGTGCTTGAGATTTGATCCAGTTCTGGGAAGTTTTAGTGGTGCACCATGATGAACGTATTTCTAAGATAACCTACGGCTCCGTATTTGGAGACATGCTTTAAGAATAAAGCCGCAAATTTGAAAAGGGGTAGGGCCACCATGTTGTTAAGCGGCAGATGGGAGAGCATCGCAGCCTTGTCTCATATCCTCTAACCTCAGACGGAGGTTTCCGGTTACCCAGGCAACGTCGCAAGTTCTAGTGGTAGGAAGGTTTCCAAAGGCACTGTGTACATAATTTAAAGGAGAGGTATCGTAAGGCAAAAATTAGTCATTTACTATAATAAGAAGATGAACCTAATTTTGTCTCCAACCAAGATCTCATGAAATCGAAAGCCTCACTATTCGGAATGTACGTTGTTCACAGATGTAAGTGAAATCAAAATGTTGCCACAAATTCATGAAATCGACATATTCGCCCTCAAGAAGCCCTCTAACTCCATACCTCCTAGACTCACGAAAATATTATGTGATCAAGCCGGCATCCTAAAGTTGGAGCTATATTCGACAATTAGACACACGAAATCCTGGGGTTAATAAAATTTTTTCGCACTCTACCAGATAAAGATTCATGGAAAAAAGTCGTGCAAAAAAATCAACATAGCATCCACTACCTGGAAACTTTTCTAGACGACTAGATATATTTCCGTCAGCCACCATCGGAAATTGTACTCTTGAGTACTGGAAATTATTTAGCTAGGTTTGTATTGGTTCTGAAATCGTAAGGGAGTGCATATGAAAAAACTACATGTCGTCAAGGAGTATTTGTAAGAAAATATATATTCACCTTGAGGAAATTAGATCAGTAAGAGATTTGTGGAATCATCTCATCCACAGTCACAATTATGGACGCCTTATCTCCCAGGGATGTAAACGCTCACCTTCGGGTCAAACAAACAAAGCATCTGGTCTTGAAGCAACCTGCTGTTAACGTCAAAACAAGTCAGAAACAAAAAGATCATCCACCTCCTCCTCCTGCCGAAGTCAGAGAGCCCCCTAGCTTCGATAGGAAAGACGGAATCATTTACAAAACTGGTCAAATGCTAGGACGAGGTGGTTTCGCGATTTGCTATGAGGCCCAAAATCTAAACACACAGCAAATATACGCTCTAAAAATTGTCAAAAGCCACATGCCTCAAAAAAGAATGGAACAAAAAGTTAATTGTGACAGCCCATCCGTCAGAGTAAAAGCTAATATCTCTTAGTTTCAAACAGAATTACAAATTCATTCAAAAATGAAACATCCAAATATCGTTGAATTCCATCGAGCATTTTCTTATCTCAATTGCACGTACATTGTACTAGAACTATGTCCGAATGGATCGCTGATGGACATGGTTAAGAGACGCAAATACATAACAGAGCCGGAGGCTCGATATTGGACCGTCCAAATAGCTGGAGCCGTAAAGTACATGCACGGAAAGGGAATTATTCATAGAGATTTAAAAATGGGCAATATATTCCTGGATAAAAATATGGACGTCAAGATTGGCGATTTTGGGCTAGCTGCTCTAATAATGTCTGGAAAAGATTTGCAAGCTTGTCGAAGAACCACGCTTTGCGGAACGCCAAATTATATTGCCCCTGAGATATTATCAAAGGAGAAAGGTGGTCACGACCACGCTGTCGATATTTGGAGTTTAGGAATTATCATGTAAGTAACCAAAGCGGTGCTCATCTAAAAGCTTAATGGAATTAATAAAATCAGCTTTGCAATGCTCACGGGAAAGCCACCTTTTCAATCCGAAACAGCAGATGAAATTTATCGTAGGGCCAGGGAACGAGACTACGATTGGCCTAGCTTGGACTCGACAGAAAATCTTATCTCCAAAGATACGAAGGATCTAGTTTCTAAGCTTCTTCAACCAGCTCATCTAAGACCTGATCCTGATCAAATTGTCCAACACTCCTTTTTTATGTGCGGATGGACTCCCAGACAGGAAGAGATGTCCATATCATTGCGGGAGAAGCATATATCACCTAAGAAGTATTTTTCTGAAATTAATTTTTCTGCCAACATGACGGTTAGCAATCGAAACCTCAAAAAACTCTGCGTGAAATGTGGAGTTGGCCCCTGGACTCCTGCAAAAAAGTACACCAGCACCTATCGGGAGGTTGCAGAGGAAGAGAAGTTGGGCCTTACCCCTGCTGTTCCACTGGCCGAAGATGTTGTTTATCACCCATTTCATGCTTGGTTGCAAGACCAAGTTCAAAGTATACAGGAACACGGTGAAAATGCTGAAGCTGCACTGAAAATATTGGAAAAAATTATATCCCCTGCGTCTAAGTCCAAGTACACTGGAATTCCTACTTCTAGGACTCCAATACAAAGCTTCGCTGCACAACAACGTGCGAAAGACTCAAAACAAAGCGTTTCTCAAAGGCAAGCACAGATCAACAGGATAGGTGGTGATAAGACCTATGTAGATAGGCCCATGCCTCCCATCAAAACTGAGATGAAAATCAGGGATGCCATGGTTGATATTGAAGATCGGCTTGCAGTGGATATGCTTCACAAGTTAAAACTTAACGCACACGAGGAGAACAGAGATAAATTTACTCAACCGTCGATTCAACGCCTAAAGAAAATTTCGATTTTTGATGAGAGAGAAAAAGCGGAGCTGGTCCCAAATACAAAGCCTAGTCACGTCCTATTGCGCCTATGTCACCTTCGTACCGAGATAGAACGTGCACTAAAGGCTCGATCTCCAGCCACTGAAGTAAAAACTCCTACAAAGAGTCCTGTCATTGTCGTAAAATGGGTTGATTACACAAATAAATTTGGCCTTGGTTATATTTTGAGCAATGGAAGTGTTGGAACCCTGTTCAGAGCAATGCCTACGTCCCAACACGGATCAAAAAAGGAGTCGTGTCCATCTACATGTGTCCTGATAAGAGATAGCGAGAAACACTTGATTAATCAGAGTAATCCGGACTGGGCACATTATGGCCAGCTAGTGCCTTTGTCAGGATGTAAAGTTGAGTTCTTTGAAAACCGCGGAGACGAGGGTCTCTTCAGTGCAAGTGTTGACTCTGAAAACTTCAAAGCTACCCCGGGACCCAACGGAGAAATGTTCAAACTAAGTGCCTCACGTGACGAGTTCGACAGCCGAAAAAAGGAGAGAGTCGCTCTCTGGAGAAAATTTGGGAACTATATGACTCATTATGGCAGAGATACCGAGTATACGCAAGAAGAAAGTCACTGCCATAATTCTGAACAGGAACATGCCATAAAAAATACAGTTACTTTCTACCAAAGATGGGGAGATGTCGGCTGTTGGGGCTTTGGTGATGGCCAGCTGCAGGTAAACAATCTGTATCTAACGCGAGAATACCTGTCCGAGGGTTACTAACAATACACTAGTTTAATTTTCCAGATCACACAAAGATTATTCTCTCATCTGATGGGACTTGGTGCGATTTCTATCATCTACCACTTCAAGCTGCGCACGAGCTATCAGAGAAAGGCATAATATCTGCTCAGGCTTTAGATGAACGACAACATCTATCATATCCTCTGAAAACCATGCTAAACTTTAAGCCAAAACTGACACGTTCCCGATCACAACGTCAGGCTATAATTGATCCCTTGGTTCAAGAGATACCATCAGCAAACGATTTTCGAAGGAAGATAGAATTTATCTTCCAATGCATTACAGAATGGACACAAAACGGAGGAATTGGTATCAGCGACCTAACTGCGAAAGGACGCCTTAGGTGGTCAGGCGCGAGACAAAGTGTGAATACAAAGATGCCTTACAAGCATGTCTGGGTTTGCGTTGGTGGTCAGGCTACTGATGAAAGAAAGGTAGCGTGGTTTGACCCTCGAAATCCTGACGTAGTTCTTCCCGATATTGAAGGTTGATGGCACCTCTATTAGAAATGATTTCACTCGGCAGTATAGCTCGTATATTCATGTCGTGAGGGTGGTGCAAGTTTACTTTCGACTTATTTTATGCGGGGCGCAAATGGAATGGGATCGAGGTTTGGGTAAAGGCCCAACCTTGATGGCGTTGGTGAAAAGCAAAGTTTCAAACGGCGTTCAGTTCTTACAGATATTTACTTCCTGTCAATAATCGGTCCTAGCAATAAAAGTCGTCTACAACGAGAGAGCCAACTTAAAACCACATATATTGACTGTATATGCATATGAATTAAGCTTAATAAATTACGAAATTGTGGCATTTTTAAATTCAGTTTTAATTTGATAGAAACCTATCTCAGATCAGAGACCAGTCTATTACGTACAATTTGACTGACTCTCATGGTTTGACGGACGGCTGCACTCTGGATTTCATTCCCAGATACCACTGTAAGGAATTTTTGTTTACATAGAACGGTCTAGCCCCGTCCGTTGGCACTCAACTCCGAGAAATTTCAAAACCTTGGGTAGTCCAAACATGCCTTTATCATTTTCGCATACAAACACTGCAAGAGATGTTGTCGAAAGTTTCTATACTTGAATCAGTAGTTATTTGTTTCAATTGGGATAGGTTTTGAAGCTACCCAGAGTTTACTTGCAGACCAAATTAGATGATATACCAATAAATGTTGCGAAACCAATCTAGACACTCCCCGTGCTTGTGGTTTCAGTATGTGTCTACCAAGATTGTCGGGTGTTGCCTATCCGCGACTAGTTACACCATCATCTTTTGTTACGTCTGATATTCGAGACTGTGACGAGAATACGCGTAACTGGTATCAGATCTGTAGTTTGTTCCGTTGTATCCCGTAATGAGGCATTACACTCTGGCCCATGTCATTGCCAGACATCAATGTATATAGACAGTCTCATATCCCTTAGTAAAGATCAAGAGTTTCGATCAAGCCTTTACTATAAACATAGTTCACACCTACGGATACCCTTTGAAGTATATACTTCGTTATTTCTCCGTGATCACTCGAAGAGTTCTGCATATTCTTAGTTTATTTTCAAAAATAAACTATATAACCGTAAAACTGGATAAAGAGTCGTGAGCACTATTGTATACAATATCATAGAGCGTAAGGATTGATTTTTTTTACTGATTTTAGGTCCTAAGCTATGCTCTATATTGGAGGGCAAGACTGAACACCTGTTCGCGGTGTCCTCTACGAACCTGGCAGTGAAATATTCTCCCAGAGCATAGTTCAGTCAAATTTTGCAATATCAAATAAGTTGGCCTATGAGGCAAAAATTCAAATTTCTCCACCATGTCGTTTTTCCGCTCCCAACTAGTTTGACGCCTACCTTAGCCTCATCAAGCCTACAAGTACGACCAAGCACATCCTCATCCCTATGATTACACCAATCTTCGACCTTCTCTGGCTTCAGTTGACTGCCAAATACACGCCTACGCCGATATTTATACCCGCCGGAGGAAGCAAAGTGTGGCACACAAATCTGGAAGACAGTTCTTTGGGATGGACGTGAGAGGGATTAGGACAAGTTAACAAGATGATACAAAGGAAGGACATTACCTCAAAGGGCGTAAAATTCTGAATTCTGGCACGGAGTTTTACGAATTGGGCTTTGTGCGCGCCAATACTTCGCTTGCGAGAGTGCAATAGACACTATAAAAACAAGCAAACGATGGAAGGTGTTGTGGCCCGCCTCCTGGTGGTGTTCTCCGGTGTGGTCTGAGTATCCCGGGCACCTACTTCACTTGGGAAGGAGACATCTCAGACCACATTTCGCGCGGAGGAAAGTTGAAAGATGATGGAGGCATGTCTGGATAACTCAGAGTTTTTGAGACGTTCCCCTGAGTGGGTATTCACGGATGAGGGTTGACTTGGGGTGAACAAAAAGCCAGCATAACTTCGCAGTGGTACTTGCAAAAGAAATCTGAGGCATGAGTGCTACTATTGTAAATTGAGTCATCTTTTCTGTACTTTTCTTTGATATTGTGTCATAGCTGGATAGCTGCATACGCAATTAAAATCTGATGCAAAAGAAAGTGGACTCCTCTAGTGTTCTGACTATGCCTGTAATACAGCACTATCGCGTTATGGTCCGGAGGGATTGTACTCGGTCTCGTGTATTCCCAGTGAGTGTAAGCCTATCAACCTCTGGTGCAGTGCCGAGTCCGATGCCATGTGAATACCATGCAAATTGTAACTGCTAGTAAGCCGATTGATCCCTGTAGCATATGTTAGTCAACATGAGCCTGGCCTGACATTGGTAGCACACGATTGATTGAAATCAATGACCGGATACATGATGCCACTCAACAGAATATCAAGGCATTGGCATCTAGTTTGGCAGGGTAGCAGTATTGGACCATACAGCTACAACACATTGAGGTGTTACAACAAGTAGGGCCAACACATGTGAAGAATCCCATTGGATCCGAGAGGGAGGGACTTTGCCTCAAACACATAGACAATGTAGATATATATATATATATATATATATATATTTATAGATAGAGTCTGAAGTAGTTCTCTCTTCAGAATGATAATTTACATACTATCGACCACATAGTTGCACCAACGAAGGCTGAACACCTGTCAGTGGTGTCCTCTACGAACCTGGGAGTGAAATATTCTCCCAGAGCCGAGATTCAGTCACGACAAAGGGTGAATTTGAGAGTTTTCGTCGAGTTGGCGATCGGGAGGAATGATGTTGGCTCATTTTTGGTCGAAAATCTGACCTGCAGAGACTTCACAACTGCACAGCTCAACAAAATCAACCATCTACACCCCAGATACGAACCGCAGAAAGCCTATAACCTGTCTGATGTTCGTATCACAACAACCGATACCTTCAACTTCTTATTTTCTTTCCCTGGAAATTCATTTGCAGCCAAACTCATCTTGCGGCCCTCTCCACAATCATCTCACCATCTACCTAAGCAATCCCATACCTCCAAAAGCCAAATCGCCAACTAAGAAGCAAGAGAATGTCCGAACCTACGCAACTGCCAGTCGCTGTGAAGGTACGTTCGAAATACCGGCCTTAAGTGCGTCCTCACCTCGGCCAAGGGCACCAACAACTCGACCTGCAACAAATTGCCACCAACAAAATACGTATGAAATTTTGCCGGCACATCAACTAGAACATTCGACAAAGGCTGGGTATTGTAATAACGAGGTTATGAGAAGTCTAAGAGTTGTCACAATGGGTGTAACAGTCAACTTGGGTGGATGTAGGATAGCACTTTAAGTCTAACGTGAAAAAGATAGATATATATTGTAGATCTGCTATATTGATGACTATTGAATATAAGAGTGGAAAAGGTTGATCATATTCAAAGGTCTAGCAGCGAGTATTTATACACAAAGACAATATACACAATATACCATCAATAGCAATAACTGCCAACCATTCAGCCATTCAACAACTATGTCATTAGATATACCTGCATCATATTATCATATAATCATGTATGGTTGAGATACTGGTGTTGTCATTGCTGTGTGCCAATGACGTATCATTGACGCAGGGTCGCTTGTCTTGTTGGTTCACTTGCCCAATACTAGCCATTCCAAGTTGTGTGATCTATCAGTGGGTCTGATCACAACACTGGGGCACCGGTGCCTCGGTCTTGAGCTCTCAGTCGCGTTTTCGACCTCCACGGTTTGGGGTATGGCAGCAATGGGGCAAAGCCAGAGGGGTGGACATTCTACAAAGTTTCTGGGATGACGAGATCGGCTGAAGGATAGAGGGATCCTGCATGAAGGAATAAAAGGGAATACAAACTGAGGAGGCCTCCAGTGAAGAAAACGACCCCTGCATGAGATGAGGAGATGCTGAGATGAGCCAAAGCTGGGAATGAGTTGAAGGGAAAAGTTACAGACAGCAAAGGTGTCAAGGGCTTGGGCGCGTGGTGGCTGATGCTGAGGAGGAATTCGCGCTTCGGCGCGCCAAAAGGGGGTTCTCTGGATGGTTGGACTTGACATGATTTAACATATGGGTGAAGTCTGAAGTGGTCCGGTCATTTAGGTAGGACGAGGTAGATGTAATTAATGGTAGTTATCCTGATCCAGCCCGGCCCTACCTGTGCTTAAGCTCCGGTAGGAGTGCAACAGGAATCACTATACCTAGCACGTAAATGAACAAGACAAGACAAGACATAGTTGCACCAGCGCCTGTTCCTTGATCTGTGACACAAATGCCGAAGCAAAAGTATTGTATTGGGTAGCATTGCATATTAGCGCATTGGTAGTCATTAATAACACCATTCGAATCAGGCCTAAGCTAACCAACATAGGCTACAGGGACCAATCAGCTTACCAGCTGTTACAGTTGGGAGTGAAAGGTTGAAATAGTGTATGAAATTGAATCATTGCCTCGTGTTACGGGCTGCACCTGACCCTAGTAAGAAGTGGAAGGTTAGATGTTTGGAAGACTGATGACCTCCAACCCTAGTCAACAAGGTCCAGGCAAGGAATTAGAACCCATGCAGGTTGAGCATAGACTCCTTGAACAGCTAGCCTCATAATCTTCTACCGGGGAGGTCAGACAGCAAGCGTATAGACTTAACCAATGGTTAGGAGATATAATAGGACCTTCCCTCTAGAATTAGTTAGTCTCTCTTGCATGTAAAAAATAGACAGTATCTGGACTTAATACCCTTGCTTCATTGTGTTGTTGTAGCCCTTTCACACCTTGTGAGCCAACTTGTTTGATATTGCAAAATTTAACTGAACTTGGCTCTGGGAGAATATTTCACTCCCAGGATTGTAGAGGACACTGCATACAGGTGTTCAGTCTTGCTCTCCATTTCTGCGTAAGTTGCACTACTGTTACAATACGTTAATAGATATTCCACCTATTACTAGAGTACACATGACTGCTGTTTCAACACCTTGATAGTTGTCGGAATATTTCCTGTGGATTCTTTGTTTGAGGTAACTCAATAACAATTGTTTCATTCATTCATT